AATGCTGTTGACAAAGCTAACTTGCTGGAAGCCTTTTTCACTTAAAGTCAAACACACTTCCCACCGAGAATTTACTTCCTCATGGATAACCTTAAGCGCATTACCAGTTTCATCTACTTTGTCCTTCAGATAGAGGTCCACATAACTGCGGAATCCTTTCACCTGCATACAGATGAAAGCAGATGACTCGTTTATAACAGCTCCTATAAATACTTAATTCATATCCTCCTGAAAAGTGGGCAGAGAAATCACTCATGCAAATTTTTCCTTTGCTATGTATAATGACATAAATTGCTTCAACAAAGTCTCACTGTTTAAATGGCAGGAGAAATACAGATATCACTGTTTCTTTTAAATGGTCACTTACAGGCAGCCTCTGTCCATTTAGGAAAACTTTGACATCCTTCGTGGATCCAGCAATATCATATGCTCTTCGAGACATTAGTGCTACAATGTCTTTATCAAGAATTGTCATTTTGAATTTTGACAGATCAGGTTGGAAAGTGACACATGTGTAATCTTCTCCATCAAAATATTTCAGTTTCATTTCACCAGCCTTTCCCATGTTGTCTGTCCAGGTCTGAGAAAAGGAGGTTTTGTGAGCTCCAAGTCTAACACACACGAGCAGCTAACTTAGTTTTTAAAAGCAGTAAGCTGATTTACGAGTTTTAAATACTTTCAAATTAAAAAAAATGCTGGTTAAAAACTAGATTCTGATCATGTCTGCTCATTTCATTATTCATTGGAATTACATTTTGTGGTACAGTAACTATGGGCCAAATTTATCCTAATCACGGTGCGCTGATCGCAAGTTATGCCTAGATTTTTGGAACAAAAACTTAGGGTCTTATTTGAAAATCTTGTGTATAATCTTACCAAAATAAGACGTGTTCATACCTGCTTGAATAACTTTTTGTATTCACGACATGCAGTTTCCACAGTAAATTTCGTGCTAAATATGTTGCACAGTTTGGCTCCATAACCATTTCGCCCACCTGGAATTAGAAGGAAAGCAGACTTGTGTTATTACCTTTGTTCAAAACCATCTAAAACAATTCCCAACTAACAGGAATTCAGCCACCTCAGCACAATCAAAGTACAACTGTCAATAAGCACCAATATCCTACAAACTCTGTACGCGACTATAAACCCATATTTAATTGGGATTAGTGTTCAAAGAGAATTTTTTCCTGTTCTTATGTTTGTACCATTATTATGATAAAATAGAGCATGGAGACTTCTCTCTGATGGACTTAGAACGCCACTTTTACATTGCACCAAGGACCCTCTCCCCCCCTCCCTTTAGTTCAGTTCACACATTTAAACCAATCAGGCTGCTCAAAAATACTAGCACATATTCGAGAGGCTTCCCTACCTGTGACTTTCTTCTCATTATCATCGTAGTTGCTGGATGTTAGTAGCTGTCCAAAGATAAGAGCAGGCACATAGACCTTTTCCACTTTGTGTTCAACAACTGGAATACCTTTCCCATTGTTCCATACACTGATTGTGTTATTCTCTCTAGGGGGAAAAAAAAACCAACATGTGTTTTTAAGGCTGCAAATGGCAGAGCTATGAAACAAGTAGTATACAAAAGCTCTGGGGAAAGGCCACCATTTCATCAAGGGCAAATGCTGTTCAGCGAGCGCAGAAACAGCCAGCAGAGGGAGGACAAGTCAACAAAAAACTTCTCAGATCTGCAGATACCATCTATAAAATGGATCACCAGACGTAAAAATCCTCTATCTATGCTCAATGACAGAACAAAAAGATTGAGAGGAAGAAAAGAGGCAAATGGCCACAACAGAAAACAACAACAAAAAAGCAGTCATTTCACAAGTCAGCACTCTGTAAGAGACCAAGGGACTAAACAAAGAAAAAGGCTTTCACAAGTAGTGAATTACAGTCGATCTAACTTGGATCGGCCACCTCGCAGAGCCCTCCAGTACTACACCAGCTTAGCAGACCAGCATCTGAGTGAGAAAATCTAATGCACTTGAGTTGGGAAGGCAATGAACAAAAATGAAATAAAACTTACACATCAATTGTAACTTTAATGCACGACATGCTTTTATCCCTCTGCTTGTTGTCTGCAGCATTGACTAGAATGAAAAAATTATTGTTATTATATTACATTCTCAATCAAGACAAAACCATTAACTATAAAGTGTCTCCAGTAGAATGAATGCAAAAATTCAACACAATGTGACTAATAATCATCTTGGTGTGCAAATATTTTGCAAGTTACAAAGAGGAGTACCACAAGTTAACATAAAAGGGACAATTTGGGGCTGAATTAAATTGATTTTGTAATAGCGTGCACCATGATCCTATGAGTGGCTTACTATTAAGTAGCACTAATGGAAGGACATTAGTATCCAATATTTTGAAGCACAATCAGCAAACACTGTACTCTGTGAACACCATCCATCAGATTACGTAATAGACATTACTTGGTCAACAACACAACCAGATAAAAGTACACTTGATAAGTTCTTATATTTAGTTCCAGTTTCTTAGACTTTCAGCACCCATTAATAACTCACCAACCATTGACTCAACAGACAGGTCACCTTACCTAGAATCTCATCAAAGATTTTGTATAAACCAGGCACAAAGGTCACATCTCTGCAGTTAAGGCCCACGTCCTCATCAAAAACCCACATTTGCTGAAAAGAAGGCAAGAAATACGTAAGCCCACAGGTACGCCTCCTCTTTTGTACCATCAGTTTGTAAGGCAGAGGTTTTGTGCTTTATAAACAGATGTTAATGACTTCTTGCCTGCACTGAGGAGTTCAGGCGGCTTAGCCCCACGACCCTCCCTTGGCCCGGCCCCCCCGCCCCCCGCACCTGGGTGACCAGCTCCACGGAGCCGATGTAGGTGTCGGGCCGGAGCAGGATGTGCTCCAGCTGCGTCTTCTTTTGGTAGATGTGCTCCACCGAGAGCTGCTTCTTGGTGCCATCGCCCTTGAGCACCCGGAGGTTCTCGTTCGCGGGCTGCTCGGGGGTGGGGGGGGAAGACAACGGCAGTGAGGAGCAGCGGGATCCGGGAGGTGAATTGGGGGGGCCCGAAGGCGGTCAAGTCGGGGG